GCAGGGAGTGATGCAGACTGCAGAGCTGGGACCTCGGGTGGGGAAGCACATGTGGCTCTTTGACCAGGATGGGTTGCCTCACTGATCAGACTTGGCATCAGACGCTCTCCAGACCCTGAGGTGGGGGCATTGCTGTCCCCAGTTCCAGCAGGCTGGGCCTGTCTCTGGGGTTCCCACCTCCCATCCTGACAGGCCCCAGCCTCACCTGAGACCTGGCCTTTGCTCTGCATCCAGGGACCCCATGGCCTTTGAGCACAGAGTCTTACAGCTGGGAAACCAAGGTCTTAAGAATGGTGGGGGATTGGGTGGGTGGTGTCCGGAAGACCCAAAGTTCTGGCCACTGGCTGGAGCCCACCCTTGGCCCCAGTTGCCCTGACCTCTGTACCCACTGCTCCCTGCAGGGCCCAGCTCAGGCTCTAGGTCTGCTGGCAGGTGACTGTCCTAGGGCCATGTCCCTGCAGGTATCTACCAGCTCCCAACGTGTGCGTCTGAAAGGGTCTGACTCTGTATACACACATGGGGGGTCAGGGGGGTATCATTCTCAGCTGGCATCTCTGCAGACCTGTCACCTCCCTGTTCCCTGAAATGGTGGCTGGAAGCCAGAGAGCAGCTTGTCTGACCAGAAGCCAAGGGAAGTCGTCATCCTGGAGGATCTGGTCACTCACTGGTCATCCAACAGAGCTCCGCTGACCTCTGAGGTTAGCTCTTCCTTGGTCCACAGCACTGCCAATGGGACTCCAGCCCTGAGATGGCAGCGGCGTCTGGGCGGGTGGATGTGGGGGCCCATGTCCCCTGGGAGCAGAGAGTCTGCGGTTTTATGAACTTCACTTCTGGGTACATGTCTGTGTGCCCAGAGCTTGGCATTATGTCTGTGTCTGTGAGCACCTCTCAGAGGACATACATGTCTGAGCGTGTTTGTGGTGAGTATGTGTGTGTGGGGGGAGGCCTGGGTAGGCAGATTTGGGAGATGCTGAACAAACCAGCTTGATTGCAGGGGGTGAGCATGTGACGGGTGGGTGGATGGGTGTTTCTGAGAATGAGAGCCGTTGTGAGTGGTGGTGGGTGCCTGTGTGTGTGTGCATGTATCCCAGTGTGTGTGTGTCTATGCATGCCAGTGAGTGCGTGTGCGAGTGTCCCCAAGGCCTGTGTGCCCCTGCACTGCTCCTGCTCGGTCTGGAGATGCCTGAGCCTTTTAGTGTGAGGAAAACCCTCTGGTGGGCTCAGGTGGCCAGAGCCCGGGAGGGGCTCCCTCTGCTCTCCAGTACCTCCTGGCTCTCCACAGTTGGTCGCAGGGACCCCTGCTTCCCTCTGCAGCTGCCTCCCCCTCTCACCTTCCAGTCTCACCTCTGGGCCTCCAGTTCTTCCTGGGATTACACCACAGCTGGTGCTCAATAAATGATTGATCGATTGATGAATGAAGAGGTATTGGTCTAGGAGCAGTATGCAGAGTGGGTGGACAGGAACTCTGGGACAGGGGAGTGCTGGTCAAGGCTGGCAGCGCTTGGGTTTGGGGCCCTGGGGCCAGCAGGACACCTCCACGTGCTTGCTGCTCCCCTGGGGCGCTCCGGTCACCGTCTGCCCTGCCTGGGGCTGTAGCCTGCAGGTTATTTATGACCCTCCCCTTCCCCTCCCTCCCCTGGCGGCAGCTGAGGCTCCGGCCTCAGCAGCGGAGGGGCCCTGTGCGGGGGATCACGAGCAGCGACCGGCTGGCGCTCGGGCTTGGCAGGTGGAGCATCAGCCTAGGTTGGGCGCCAGGCTGTGCCCAGGGGTCCTGGAGTGCTGTCCAGAATGTGGAGCTGGGGTCGATGCCATCCTGCTCCAAACTCTGTCCCTTTGGTCTCTCTGGAGCTGGAGAGGCAGGGAGGATGGTGCACAGTGCCCCAGACCAGAACATGGTGGAGCCTGGAGTCCCTTGGGGGGGGGGCAGGATGCTGAGGGGCTGTGATGGCCCTGACTGCCCATGGCCCTACTGGCCCTATGTAGCCCCTGGGGCAGCCCCTTGGGGGTTGAGGTGGCTCTGAGAGGAAAGGGTCCTGCAGGGAGCTCTTCATTCTGTCAGGATGTTTTAGAAAGGGACCCTCCTTTTCCTGCTAGGGCCAGGATGGAGGGGCTAGATTAGACACCTCTCCACTTTCCACCCTCTCTCCCAGCCAGCTAGATGCCTCTCCAGAAACCAGGGCCAGACCAGTGCTTTGCCTACCAGTGCTGTGGGCCAGAGTTTGGGAGCAAGGGGTGGTCCTACATAGAGGGGTTATGACCCCACCGGCCCCTGGCTGTAGGCAAGCATCAGGTTCCTTTTCAGGTGAGAGTCCAGGATACATAAGTCAGGAGGGCTGTAGATACCAGCTCCCTCCCAAATCATCACAGGGTTAGGGTCAGGGGCCAGGTGGGCACGCTGATGTGCATGGGACTAGGTGAGGACAGGGTGGCAGAGGATCAGGGCTATGGCCAGACTGTGGACACAACACTCCTCATTCACCTGGCCTCTCACCAGGCCGAAGCCTATCCCCCACCCCCCAATGGCACCCCCCCTCCAACAAACCAGACAGCCTCTCACCAATCCCAGTGTCACACCAGGAGCTGGGCTGGGTGGGGGGCAGGGAGGGAGGGCAACCTGTAGTCTGTGAGCAGGCTACCAGATAGTCTGGCACAGCTGAAGTACCCACTTGTCTGTATCTGGGCACCAAGAGGCATCACAGTGAGAGTTCACCACGTCCCCAAACACATTGCCACCTGTAGGGATGTTGTGGGCCGTCCTAACTCCAGAGGCTGGGTGTCAGGGGCCCCAGAGTCAGCCCCCTCAATGCAGCAGTCCCAGGCCCCTACTGGATCTGGATCAGCCTCGGGGGCCCTTAGTCAAGCCTTGCTTGCTGAAAGTGTATCAGCAGAAGGGGAGCCAGTGGCCCCGGTGGCCCAGCCACCTGCTTGGCTGAAGCTAGCTTTTGCTAGAAGGAAGTTGGGTGGGATGGGGGCTTTTCCTCCGTCTGCTGGCTGCTTCCAGGCCCTCCCCCACAGAAGGTGCTATGGGCACAGACCTGTGGGCACAGAGCCTGGGTTAGGGAGATACCCACAGGGTTCCTCTGCCAGGTGCACCAAGCAGTTGACCCATCTAGGGGTGGGGTGGGGGTAGAGGCAGGGTCGGGCAGAGGGAGCTCCATCGGACCACCTGCAGTACGTTCTAGCTTGCCCCCAAAAGACAGATATGTCCCACTAGCCTGGCTGAAGTTCCTAGCTCCCATACCCTGCCATGCTGGGGTGAGGAAGATGCGGGTGCACAGACCAGTCCATCAGGGGACAAATGGGCCCCTTGCTTTAGGCTGGGTGGAGACTCCATTCACTTTTGTTCCGGGGTCAAGAGCCTGGCATTGGTACAGCTAAGTGCCATTATATGTATTGCCCTTCCCGCCCCCCCGCCGCCCGCAGGTCTCAGTCCTCTGTTCCCTGAAATGGACTCACAGGAAAACCTCCGAGTGGGAAGGTCACTAGCAGCGATCGACAAGAAGGAAAGGTATGGCAATCGTGCAAATGGCTGGGCTTGTTTTTCAGAGAGCACGGTAAAGAGGGGATGGGGGAGGGCACGCACCACCAAGCAGCCCCACAGCTGGCAGATGTGCCGAGGGGACCACCCACCCGCATCCTACCCCAGTCGCCGTCCCAGGGGCCGAGGAGGGGCAGACCCTCTCGGGTGCGCGCCCCACGTGGAGTCCCAGACTCCAGCTTTCCCTGAAACCAGCTGCTGGCGAAGTGAC